CATGGCGCCTACCAAGCACGATGAACAGACTGTGTGTGGAATATAACAGAGCCTAGGATTGCTTTTGTTGTCCTTGTGCCGCGGTGGTAGCGATCCCTGTTCACACGCAGAGGTCCAGGGTTCGATTTCCGACTAGTCAGGTATTGTTTGTACTGTATATGGAGGTCCGAGTGCTATATGGACGGATATATATATATATATATATATATATATATATATATATATATATATATATATATATATATATATATATATATATATATATATATATATATATATATATATATAAGCGAACGTGATCTAGCCTAACTTAATTTAACTCAACCCAACCTATCGTAACCTAACTAATCGTAACGTAACGTAAACAAAATTAACCCAACCTGACTTAATTAACCTAACCTACTAACTTGACCTAGCCTAATCTACCCAGCCTAACTTAAGCAAGGGTAACTTAACCTAACTTGAGGCAATTTAACCCAACCTAAGGCAACTTAACTGAACCCAACTTAACTTAACCCAACCTAACCCAATCCAACCTAATGGATCACAACCTAACCTTAACCAACGTAACCTAAACTAACCCAACCCAACCTAACCTAACCTAACCAAACTGTTGTTGATTTTCTGAGTGTTGTTAAGAGAATTTTGTTAATGGTTTATGATATGGTCTTTAGCCTTTGGTATGTGATGTGTTAAGGTGTATGGTGGAGATGTGTTCTGGGTTCGAACCCTTCGCCAAGATAAGAATGAGAACAAGGTGCTTAATGGATAATGGAGTAGATATAAATGGGTTAGTTATATCATAAAGAGTTAGGTATTTATTTAAATCCCTTCCCCCAAGAGGGTGTGGGTACTTTCCCAGGTGTTAAAGTTTCGAGAAAAAATACGCAAATTTCTTCTTTTTAAATTCCTTTCTTTAAAATAATCTCAGTTATAAAATACAAAGAACAAAATTTTACCTCTCATAACTAGAATAAGCCTCAGAGCCCAAGCTAACATGATTACCTTAACTTGTTGCATTTGCTGAAAATTTCTTATATTATATTTAATCTTGAGAGGAATGGTAAGTTAATGAATTAAAAGTCTGTGTTTGGTCTGTGGTGATGGTGATAGACGTGGTGAGGCTGTGTGAGACGTGGTGAGGCTGTAAGACGTGGTGAGGCTGTAAGACGTGGTGAGGCTGTAAGACGTGGTGAGGCTGTGTAAGACGT